ACTTTTATTTAGATACGTAGCAGTCACACAAATCTCATACGAGAGAGATATGTGAGTTTTGTTAGTTTTCTTGTTTCATTTCTCTTGACAAACATGATATGTCGAATAGCGAACATTTCATACCCTTAAGTGAAGAAATTCCAAATCCACGACTCTTTTGATACTTGCAATGGCATTAGAAGATTTTAAGTAAAATTCCGTTCCAAAATCTCTATATGCTAAGTGACCAGAGTTTAATGGCCAAAAAAAATAAAAGGAAAAATGTTGTGGATAAGTTCACTTCTTTCGTCGATTTCATTTAGCTTGTAATATTTGTTTTGGCTCAATACTTTCTACGTAGAATCTTGATTAATTATGTATGCATTCATGTTTGCTTGTTACAAGACGAAGAATAAATTTATCATACTTAACGTATTGATAGGTATAACACCGACAATATAGAGAATATAAGATGAAACAGAAACCAACTAAGACTCGGTGTTAAGGCGCTCACAAGTGGCAATAATGATTTGTTGTTTTATAATAAACAACAACACATTGTTGATTACGTTGCTTTCGGCTGGCTGCCTACATATGCTTAATGTTGAGCTCTAGATGATAATGTGTGTATGTTTGTGTGTGTGCATATTTCAATGTACGCATATATGTGTATTGGTAGGCCAAAACACTTACCCTACATACGGATATCGTTTAAATGAGAGCGAAACTTTTGAAAGATATTGGCGTTCTTCACTTCTTGGATTTTTTAATTTTTCATTTCTTTTTTTCTTTCTGCTTTTATAAGCGATAAGACAACAGCAAGCAACTAATAACCCTTAAAAACAAAATGTCTATCAAAATGATAAGTTGCTGATAATTTTCTAAAGCAAAACTCTTCACGGCAAAAAAACAACGCTCCTGATGTTCTTTCTAATGAAAAATTTTTTATGAAATCAAGAAATTTTCTTCTCAACATGTTTCTGTTGAAAGAAAAGCCCAATGAATTTTTTTTGCATTTTAATTCTAACTTAGGGACACATACGTTGGTAAAGGGTGTGCCAAACTAATCACTTTTTTCCAAGTTTCAGTTGATCTTTTTTTTTATGATATAAAACATGTGTTAAGAGTATTGTTTTAATTATGCTTTGTTTGGCTTTTACACAAGATGGTGCAAACGTAACGTAACTGTTAGAAGTAAAGTACGAGTGGCCTTTTTGAAGTCTACAGCTTCATGTACTTTACTAACGCATGAATTGTGTTAAAAAGAAACGTATGACTTTTTTTGAAAAACATTTATATATTCATTAATATCTATCTTTAAAGTAATCGCCCCTAAATACAGTCGTATCTTTAAAACAAGGTATAGATGTCAAGTCATACAATTTCGATAACCGCTTCATATATGCATTGCATCAAGATCCCTGTCAAACAGTTTGCAATCCGCATCAAATGCAATTAAATTTTCGATTTCATTTTGAGACACCCTGTAATACTCTTAACATTTTGAAATTCGCCCAATGTCGTCAATATTTACGTATTTAGTCGCAATATATTTGCCTTCTATCTGGCGCATCCTCGCTAGTCGCTCAAAAGATCTTCTGTACACGTGTTGCAATAAAGAGAATTCATAAATGCTTAATTTTATGCTCAGACGCATATATAACACACGAGATGTAAATCTTGTGGAGACTTGCAAAAAATTCAAAACAAACCACATCTTTGCCACTCGAAGACTTCCTCTTAGAGATACAGATAGTAGCTAATATCTTGCAAAATCTTACAAAGCACAATGAGCTTACGGCTAAGTTACGATGAATATTAATTTAATTTGAAAATTATTTTACTTCGCCAACAATTTCAGATGAAAGGTCACGAGCTGACTACGTTCCCAAAGGAACTGTGAAAGGCTGCTTCAGCGGACGCCCGCAACTTCTTACACCTTGAATTTTTTAGGCTAACTGGTGTTTTGAAGCAATGATCGGAGATCATACTACCTTTTCCAGTCAGTACTTAAAGCCGGTAGCCTTAGATGCTATCGCTTTAAGACATTAGTCCTTGAAGTTGTCTTCAATATTGATAATAAAAATACTCAATACAACGAACCATCTGTTGTTGATTAGCGGAAATCCAGAAGCAGAAGAAAAAGAAGACCGTATTGGTATTCCCGCTAATTAGAGATAAACAGCTGAAGCTCAACACATATGCTCGTAAATCATTTTCGTATCATTTACGTATTAGTTTTGAAAATGTTTTTGTACCAAGTTTCTCTTGTGCATAAACTAAACTAAACTAAAAGAACCTAAGCAAACAAGGAAGATATATCACATATAACTCTATCGAAGACCTTATTCTTTGGTGAATTTATGGAATCCTTTCGTTATTAATGGATGCGCTTTGACACGTTGTATATTCTATATTTCAACCTGCTGCTATAGCAATTTATTCATCTCGGTGCGGTTACAGATTAACCAAAGTAAACACAATCTTATGATATTTATGACAATATTTTGCGGTAAATTTTCAAAATGGTTCGCTAAAATAAACTAAAACAAAGTGTTTTAATCTCTTTTTATCAAAGCGTTGTTCATGCAACAGCATCTTACTGTAAAATAATGACGATGATGACGACGTTGTGATATCAAACTATATTTATGAATTCCGTGAGAATTTGACGCTACAATAATAGTAATAAGTTGTCTAAAAAGTAATGAGCCTAGTCATTCCTTCATACCTTCATTTCACACTTATTTAGCATTAACGACATCCAATGGACCTAATAAGGAATGGCAACCTTCCCATCAGGTAGCGTCTGCGTTAGTCTGCTTATAGACAACTTTAACAGACACTCTAACATTGTATGGAATAGAATTTTCTTCTTCAATTTTTATTATTGCTTCTTTTTTTGTTCCGGCTTTTTGTGTTTGTGTTAAATTATAAAATTTTTGTTTACTTTCATCTTCTTCTCTCCATAAAATATTTTATCTCTTCACACAGTTTTTTATGAAAATTGCGCAAACTGCGTTTATTCAGGCGCCATACACACGTGTTTTATCGCTGCCATTAAATCATATTTTTATATTGTATTTTTTCACTTCTTATATATTACGCACACCGATGCATAAGTAAGCTTTTTCTACCTTTCAGCTTCATCTTCAACTAATGTTTTAAGCAGATTTTTCATTTTCTCTCTGCAGTCGGGAAAATTTTAATGTTTACATTTTCAACATGTTGAACGCTCATGACGCTTACATTACATTGTTGATAGTACGAAAAGGAAAGCTTGTTGACATTCATCTTAAGCGCTTTACTCCCTACTAAATATATAGTTGGCTGGCGATTTACTTATTGTAGGAATTTTCAGAATTAATTTTTCAAATCAAATTACACAAGACCTCTCACTTCCAAGCAGTGGTGTTCTTTGGATAAACCTTTCCAATGATCTATTCCGTTAGGGGACTGATGACATATGATATGTTGTTAATAGTTTGGTTTTTTCATTTTAAATTGGATTACATTTGATCTTCGCTCCGCATATGTCTCTGTCAACTTCTACTTTTACTTGCACCTCTCTTTCTATCTCGATCTCAATGGCTATCTGTGCCATTATCCCTATCTCCATCTCTGTCTCTATATATGTATAATCTGTCTCTCTCCTTAATTCTATCTCTATCTCCATCCCTACCTCCATTACTAATTATTCCTTTCTCTCTCTCTGGCTGCCGCTCTCAATGAATAAGCCAAGCGAAAACGAGTGTATGGCAGACAGAGAATATAAAGTTTTCGAAAACTTCATCCGTGTCAATCTATTGTTAGTCATCCAGATATAGCATCGCCAGTCGTAAGACATATTTCAAAACCAGCAAGCATCAAAGAGAGACAGATAAATTAATTTGTCAAAGGATATTCGTCCATCACCGCGCTTATAGCGCCTTCAATAGTTAACTTACATTGTCGTGATGCTTGGTAAAAATTTTTGTGTAAAGGTTTCATGCAAATAAAGGTCCCATCTGGCTTCAGAGACTGGGAACATGATTAAGTCTGTTCCACGCATAGGCTGTAATTTTGCTTTCACATACCTCCCAATATTGCAAGCAAATCGGATTTAAAAGGTCCCCCCCATCATTATCTGCAAGTCTTCCTAGTATCGAAAAAGCAACGCTAATACCCCTAAGACTAAGGTAACTTTTGCTTTGCAGTGATGTCAGTTTTCTAGATGCTAAATGCTCTTCTAGAGGCATTAGCGTGAAGTAATTTCGTTTTGTATGTAAAATTTTTCCGTTTTGATACCTCCAATACGATGCGGACACGCAAGGGGAGAAACTGATGTGCAAACATATCGATAACAATTAAACGAAGTATGGAATAAACGGACAGCCAGACAGACTATCTGGAAAGCTCAAATTCGTTTAAAAAGAGCAAGATCAGGGAAAGAAATCAACGGTATATGAAGGAGTTGCCAGGCGCAGCAAACCCACTCCCAAGGGAAAGTTAACACATGAAGATCGGATTTATAGATAAATTGATGAACATTTAGATAACTATTCGAAGCCATGTTTATATAGACGAGTGAGCATAGCTAATCAGTGTCGATAAACTATGAATACATCATCACGCGATTATTTACCGAACTAAATTAAAGCATTAAGTGGGGATCAAGTTCAAGTGGAAAAAAATTACAACTTGTTGCGAGCCGGACTGAATCCAAAAACAAAATACCAAAGCTAACCTCAATGGCAGCTGGCCGAAGGCTAGTGCACACACTTCGTGATCTACTTACGTTTGCTGTATCGCAAAATTTATATAAGTTTTCGGATCTTCTTTACATCAAACATACAAAACTCATTAATGCTCGCTTATGTTTCGTAATAATCGATAAACATTGAAGAAAAATAATCGATAAACACATATTAAGTATATCTCGTTCTCTCTAACACTTAACCAACATATGCATGCGCAAATACATACATGTACATCTACCTTAATATTCATGAAAATTGATTTAAAAATTCTCTCAATTTCAGGTAAGATAAGATCTGATTTAACACAATACGGCGGCATATCAACAGACATGGGTAAGAATTTTTTTACTCGTTTATTCTTCTTATTTTTTTTTTTTTTTCTGTCTAGTTTAAGTTTTTTTCTCTTCTTGTAATTTCTCTCCATTAGCAAAACAAGTTGTTGTAGTATATTATCTTGTAGAACAAAACAAATGAGAAAACAACGAAAAATAATAAACAAAAAGTCAAAAATACTTAGTAATAACAAATTATAGCTTCAAGTTGTAAAAATTATATCAAAGAAAACAAATAAAGCAAAATGCATGCGATGCCAAAAGCCTCTGAAAAAACATAAAATAAAAATCTCAACTGTTTCTTCATTATAACACCTCCAGTCAACATGGGTGGCTTAACTGTATCCTACTTATTGAGTGCAGATATCATTATTATAGAGCGTACAGAGCGAGATAGAGAGGTTATTATTAATGTAACAACAAGTCAGCAACTACACTGAACCCAATGTTAGTAACTCTTATATGCCGTCACATTATCGAAAGTTAAGTAGACCACTGCTTCTTACAATAGAATTGCGAGTTAAAAGACCATAACATAAAATTATTGAAAACTTCTACGAAGACTGATGATCTGACCAAAGCTTATATACCTTAAGACTTCTTTAGTTCAGTTCTTCACTTATTATAACTTATCGAGTAATGACGACGCCTGCCTGCTTTGTATACTAAGAGGCTACTAGAATATATACCGATATTTCTTCAGTCGCTGTTGCGTACAAACAAACGCCTATAGATACACGTACGTGTGGCAAAATGATTGATTTTTTTTTTTTTTTGCTTTATAATTTTTTTCTTATTCCTTTTTTTTTTCTTAGTTTTCTTTCCATTTCTTATTCATCATAAATGTTTAGTTTTACACTTGATATCACAAGGTGACCAGATTTCGTACAAAAAACGGATTTCATTCATGCACGATTTTGCATTAGAATAAAATTAAAAATGAATTCTCCAGCTCTTCTTTGCGGAGAGAGTTTCATTCTCATCTATAAATTTCAATCAAGACAATTAAATGTGTAAATGAAAAGCAGAATATCTTGTGCGCTACATAAAAAAGTGATTAAATCGCGTTTATCAAATTGCCTGCTAAGTAATTTTATATATGAATGACGAGTCGATGGAATAGGAAGTAATTTCATAAAGAATGCGGACATTGTGCTAAAATGCATGCTTTACGGTTTTTGAACAAGTTGGTGAACAAGAGCATATTTCAGGGCTTCAAATAGCCGTACGCCGTCTGGATATAATTGTCCTTCATTATATTCTGCGGCCAAGAAGGTTTCAATTATTCTCACTAATCATTATAAGGGATTCGAAGATATATCAAAATTGCTTTACACTTACTCGTGTTTCGATACAAAAAAAAATTTCTATTTTTTCAAGCAGCAAGTACTCTTCTCGCGCTCCTTGCTCTTTCAACGATCATTTAAGGTGAAGGGTAATTATTACTTACCATGTTCCGTTACATTCAAAAGCATAAAAGAAAATTTCGAAGCAGAACCGGGAAATGTTATGTTTCCTCTTGAATTTTTCCCTTTCATCCCAACATCTTACCAGCACATTAGCAGAAGGGATAGAGGAAAGCACTCTTTACTCACTCTTGGTTTATCAAACACGCATTTCAAACCGTGACCACATTAGCAAAATGGATGAAGGAAAACACACTTTACTCACTCTTGGTTTATCACACAAGCAGTCCAAACCGTAATCATGATCTCTTTTAGTGACAAATCCGAAAAAGCTTTCCTTCATCCATACTGTTATTAAATCCGGAGAAAGAACTGCAAAGAAATCGCATACTAACCGATTTAAGTTCCTTTAAAGTTCCGCATATACTTACTTCGAAATCCGCTTCGTAATCTTTAAGCTTCCGATGCTTTCGAGCAAGCATTCTGTTTTGAGTTCTTGTTTCTTTCTTGTTTCTCAGTCGATCGACCAGCCGACGAATATCCGGCTGATTAATCTCTTCTTCTCGGATTCGATAAGTAAGGTACTTACATTTCGTTACTTAATAGAATTCAACTCGTTTAAGTCTTGTAAGGTTATCAATAACATTGTGTTAATTTTTTATTATCAAATTATTTACAGTTATTTGCCTATAAATTAATAAATACTTTAACACATTGTTGCCTAATGAAATCAAGCAAAAAATTTCATATTCATAATAGTTATCAGCTGGTAAACTTTAGCTTCGGCGAACGAATGCAAGGCAAAAAGCAAAACACAGAGTGCCGGCGAATCAGGTAACAACAGTAAAGGCAAAGAAAAGAGTATTTGCAAAACCCTTCATTTATATTATACGCTGTAATTGATAAGTGATTAAGAGAAATAAAATAAAAACAAAAGTTGCAAACTGCAATCTATAAGTCATGGTCCACCCAGGCTTTGCGATCGTAATTTTCATTATCGAATTTGATCTGTGGACGTTAAAGAAAAGTATGTAAAACAAGTTGAAGATAAAAATTTCCACTCCACTACGGCCAAGCTATTAACCAAGTTAGTAAATTAATGGATGAGTGACTGGACAGACATGATAACATGATTTCAAGACCCTACTACTAGTACTACTACTACTACTACTACTACTACTACTACTACCTGAATCCTATATAAACATTCTTTTCTGGATCATTGAAAAGAAACGACAAAACTATCGTAATGTCATCCACTGAGGGTGGATACAACAAATAAAAATCCATAACCGTATGATTATGTATTCAATTTTATACGAGCGCACCAATTAACTGCTACTGCAAAAAACACAAAACATTGAAAACTAGTGCGCGTTTTTCTTATATGCTACGCATGTTGAGACGGGACGAAGAGAAAACTAAGTATTATAAGCGAATTGATTTCAACAAACGACCAACGTTCGACACCTGATCTGTTTACGTTACTCGCATATACACATAAATCGGTTTACATGAGGACAGGGAATCGAAAAAGCGTGCGCAAAGAGTGTTTTAATGTTTTGCCGGTAAAAAAAAAAAGAAAGAACGCAACGCAACGCAACACAACAAATCGGTATTCGTAGCCAAACCAACTGTAATTCATTCAATATGAAAGGAAAAACAGAAAAAGAACAACCGCGCCATAAACTTTAGTTTTAATTGACTCACAAATATATAATATCGACAACACACATACACACATATAATATATATATATATATATATGTGCATACATGCATATACAAAATATAAATATATATATATATGTGTGTGTATGTGTGTGTGTTTATATTTACATGTGTTTACATATATAAATACCTAAATGTGTTCTACAATCTCAGTAACTATTAACAACATATTAAAGACAACATATACAACAATAATAATAACAACAACAAATGCTATGTTGTATAGCAACAACAGTAGCTTAACAAGATAGCATAACGTTGACATTTTACATGACAATTGTTATACCCTCCACTAAGTGGGTTATGCTGTGTGCGTGTCATTTATTAGAAATTATCTGATCTCTATTTAATATAGAATTGACGGGCTTTCGTAACGAGAAAAACTATAATTCATTAAAAATTTCGATTTACGATATGTTCGCGTTTCTACACAAGAGACAAAAACGAAAACCTCTGGATTTCTACTTTGCTCAACTCATGTCCTATGTATGGATAACAAAAGGTCGAGTGGAATTTTGAACAGACTTAATCAGGGCTGTCTGTCCGTCAGCATGCACCTTTGAAATAGAAAGTTAAAGTTTATAACGTATGCTCCGAATTTACGACCGCAGATCAATTTCGGAAAGAGTTGCAGGCCTATGGAATCAAATTTGCAAAGTGTCCTCCCCTCCAGCAGATGAAGATTTAACTTTAGTGACATATATTTTTCGTTGGCATTTAAAAGAACAGACAGCTCCAGAATATTTGATGGCTTACCTTTCACTTGGTGATGTTAAGGGACTTCCGTCTGTTTTAAATAACTGATATCATTAGTTATTCGAATAGTGAATACAAAAACAATTAATTCTAAATCCCACTTATAGATAGGTGTTAAATTAATAAAGTAAAGCTCAATATTTTTTCTATAAGTTAATATGGGCCGATTAGTTGCTTTTAGTTTATATAAAATTTTATTCCTTCTCTCTTTCTTATAACGAAAAATACTCCCTTTTATACCTTCCCTTTTATGGTCCCCAAAGCCTTAGGTAACATGGAAAGTTCGGTTTAAACCGGGCATTCTATCCGTAATTATTAAAGAAGAATTAATTAACGCCAAACAACATTTACTGCCATGAATGAATTGAATAAATGAGCGAAAAGTGGGAGTTTTTTCAGGGGACTTGAAATGAATTTAACTGAAAGTGTTTGTTTTTTTTTTTTTTTTCAAAAAAAAAGTTCGATACGATTTTATGTTTAGTGTTTGTGCTAAGTCACAACCTTCCGTTTTCATTCTCAGGCAAGCATGCATGTTTCATTGTTCAGTTTATTTTGATTTTTACTGTCGTTGTTTGCCACGACATGTATAAAGAACATGTTTAAGAATGTTTATGTTTATGTTTCGTTTTTTTTTTTTTTTTTTTTAATTTTTTTTTTTTAAAAAATTAAATCCTTTTTAATAAAAAAAAAAAAAAATATTTTTTAAAAAAAAAAAAAAAAAAAAAAAAAAAAAAAAAAACAGTAATCATGTAAAACTGCAAAGTTGGACATAGAACACATGCATGCGATTCTTTTTAAAAGAAAACATCGAACAAGTGACCATACAGCGATGATTGCAGTCATTTACTCCACTTTTAACCACATGTTTTTTTTTTCTTTTTTTTTTTTTCAATTTCTTTTAAATGTTTTATTTCCTTTTTCTAAAGTAAGGTGTACTTTTCATATTATTAAGAGATGTTTAATCTTTTATTAATTTCATGGCAATTTTTTACACACGTACTTATGTATGTAGTGTGTTTCCCCCGCGAAGTAACAATTAATAAATTCATATTGAAATCGCTAATTGAATAATGCATACAAACAAGCATACTTGTCGTAATTGATAAGAG